ATCACTGACTCTATTGGTGGGCAGAAAAAAACCCCAGATTTTCCAAAGAGTAAATCTTCAGAGAATCAGAAAATGATTAACTGATAAAATAAGATTAAATCAGCCAGTCCTACTATGTGCAGAGAGTTTTGACAGGATTCATCAGGGATATATCTCACTTTGTCACAACCAAAGAATTTGATTCTTATTCAAACACACTGAGCTGATAATTGGATTGATCCTATCAGAAGTTTTTTCTGATAAGATTTCACAACTCTTTCAGTAGGGATAATATCCAATAGAGAAGGACTAAGTAGAGTACAGTGTCTAGGAGTTTTATCAAAATAAAGCCACAAAAACCAACAGTCAATGATGCAATCAATCAGCACCAAACTGACTCCAGAGGCTTCAAAAAGCAAGACATGAAAATACAGCTACCTGAGATGTTGCAAAGGTGTGAAGTGAAACGCTTTCCCACGGGCATTACTGCCTTGTATGTATGATATGGATCTTGGTGCAATACCAAAGTAGCTAGCTACCGTTTTACACAATGATTCATCATCTTGTCCTTTACACAGGATGAAGCTGCATCTATAGGCAGGAAATATCCCACACAACCAAAGTACAAAATTAGCTGCTATTTAAGGCTGAGAAATATTTCAGTCTCAGACAGAAACCTGGCAGGTCCTTTGCTTTTACCACCTGATGAGTGTTTAGGAAACAGACTGTGTGGATGAAACTAGAATGTGTAATTAAAATACCTTATTTTATAATAATGCTGCTTGACTTGTTTAGTTGTTGAGAAAGAAAAATCCCTCAGCAAAAAAATTCTTCTCGTGTTTTATAAAGTTATGGGAAACAAAACCAAACTTGTTCTCAACATTTCATAACCAAGCTGACTAACAGGACTGAATGTTAACCTGTGGAATGACAATCACTGGGTCCAGCCTACTTGTGCTTTAAATAGACCTCTATTCTTAGGTTGAGGGGAAAAGAAAGGACACTGATCTAAGACAATGCCCGTTAACAAGATGCTATCTTGCACTATTAGGTGTGATTAAATCAGTGCCCAGTATGTGTACTTTACACCAGGCACCAACAACTAGCTAGAAAGAACATTTGCAAATATCATAACATGTTAGGTGAATAGCCATACATTTCACACGTCTTCAATTTAAGACTTTAATTTAAAAGAATTTTTTTTTTCCCAGTGGTCATGAGAGTTTAAAGCCAGGAAAACTAAATATTTTATATGCGTGTTATTCTGACAGGTTGATCCTCTTCTCAGGTAACTTGGAATATTACAAAAACATCCATTCAACCAAGTAATCATGGCAGAGACAATTACGTCTGTTTTGTCTTGGTGTGACACAATGTGGTGCGTCACAACAATGTTAAACTATCAACGCAGACACCACAATAGGAGCAAGACAATCAGATAATTAGTGGTCTCTTAACCTGTCAAATTTATTATATTAACAAATCAAAATAATCCAAATAGATTTTTATAAGAACAGTGATGTTATAAATCATCTTTCAACATCTCACAGTTTAAACAAAATTAAATTGCCTTATTGGGGTCATAATTGATATGTATAACTAACGGCAGATGTAGTTTACATGAAAATAAACAGTTAAAGAAACCACTATTTGGAAAGTGTCTGAGCATTAAAAACATTTAATAATCTTTAAGTAAGCAAAGCTTCAGGATCTGGGCTTAAGCTATCTAATACAGAGAAATCACACTCAAAACCCAACAAAGCATGAACACATAGTCTAAGCTGGCTTGTGTTATCCTTCGTTTACTGGAGGATCTTTTCCCCAAACTAAAGGTGTTAAGCGGCCGTCTGTTTTCAGCGACTGGTGGATGACTTCCTTTGGCAAAACTGAAAAGATGAATTTACTAAACAGCTTTGAGGTCGACAGCATGACAACCCTGCAGTGAAATCCTGCTCACACCCACCTATGTCTTAGACACAGCTAAAGACCCATAGCAATATCCATGTGGTATACAAGCCACTCACTAGCAAGAACCCCAAATATAATACATTTTAATTAATTATTTCAGCAAAACTAGGCCTTTTATTTTGGTTTATGTAGTATAACACATCCGTGCCTGTATAAAGTAATTTTATGCTTTGATAATTTATAGTAAATGCATTGATTAAATACACTGGCAGACATGAATATGGGGAAGGGAAAACACAGACTGTTGCTGTTTTCAATCACAAAAGACGAGAGAATTAATCTGAAAAAAAAAAAAACGAAAAAACGTGAAGGGTGTCATTACCCCAAAGCCCGGAGAGATCAGACATTTACCCAGCTAGAAAACTGACGTCTGAGGTGAAGGGCGGCGAAGCCCTAAGAGGAAGTCACGGGAAATAAAAAAGAAAAGCTGCGCATAACCATCGAGAGCTACCAGTGTCAAAAAAAACTTTTTTTTCTTTTTTTTCGTAAACTGCAAGCCACTGGGTGGGTCACCAGAAAGATGGCGTCATCACAGAGGCAACAGATGGCCAGTGTGTCCGCAGTGGAAGAATGGGTGGGTGGCCCCGACACGCATTAAACTTACATATCAATACGTTTCATACGCTTATTAGTGAAGGTTAAATTAATTACATACAACGCAGGCTTACATGCCGAATATATGTAGCTGAATAAAGATGCCGTCTACTTACTAATGTGGCACAAAATCTAAAAAAAATAAAAAAATAAAAAAACGTTTAATGCGAATGAGGTGTTTAAACTAACTTAGCTGTTTAGGTGTAGCTTAATATTGCCTACATATTTTTCTGGGAAACTAATTTGACAAAAAAAAGTCAAACGATTGCGGGATGGTAAGCCGCCTGATTAGCCGAGGGAAGGAAAAAAAGACCTCATTGTTTGGTTACGGCTCGCAAATCTAGGCCAGTCTTTGAGGCTCAGTTTTTAAGTCTGACATAGTTTTCACCGTCCCCATTAAAACCGTATGTGAAATGTGTAATACATTTCCGTCTTCGTATTGCTGAATTGACACGGCTGGGTTTTTTTCTTTTCTTTTTTTTAAGCCAAGTAATGTGGCGACTGCGGAAGAAGCACAGGAACCGAGGTCGGACAGTGGGGGGCAGAGTGCTTAGCTACGGTAAGCTAACCGCGCTAGCATTTAGCCTCGCTGGCTCGGCCTCCCAAAACCAAGGACAACTTTACAAATTAATGTTCTCGACATTTAAACTAAGCAACACGAAACAAGTGTCTTATCTAAAACACTATGTAATCAAGAAAGTAGTTTACCTTCAGTTTATGTGCCGAGCGGTCGGGTTTTTCAGTATTTCTAGAAGCTAAGCGGCTCTCCAGTCGCTCGCTGCTTCCTCCTGTCTCAGCCTGATACAATGAATTAGTTCACGGGAGAGCGCGCCGCCACCGTTATGGGGCTTGTGGCTGGGGGAGGGGTGGGAGGCACGAGCCCAAGAGCCACGCCTGCGCGGGCACGTCTGGATTGGAGCACTAGCATAGCAGGAAGCTAAATGTGTAATGTTGGTGAGTTTAGCCGTCAACAGGGTCTGTTTTCAGGCAGGCGTGTTATTTCATATATTTCTAATTAACTGAGTCACACACTCTTAGTACCACAAATAGTACAACTTTATGGCAGTCAAGGTTTACAAAGGCTGAAATCCCTAATGACTGTTTATTATGCCTTTGATTGAATCTAAAAATACTCAAAACCCAAAGTTTTCTTAAATTTTAAACAGTAGTTTTTTTCTAGAGCCAATAAAACACTCAACTGTTAATTCACTTGTTTTAGCATCAAACATGTTTTTTTTAATGGCATCATATTATTTTTAAAAATAATGTTGTTTACTCAAAGCCAAGCAGATTAACAGGTTTAAACATCCAGTTAATTAAGCTGCAACCTCAATGAATCGGAAAAAGGCTTCTTGCCCCACCTAGCGGTAATTTAATGTAATAGAAGTACTCAAAGCAATGGGGAAATACTGTACACATAAAATCGATCCTTTTAGTTTTTATTTATGTATTTGAAGAATGTTACTACAAATTTGTTGAAGTTAAAATTCAAAAGGATTGTTTTTTTCCAAAAATGTAACTTACAGGGCCTGCCAAAGCAATGCATAGGGAGAATAGTCAGTCACAGCTTCCCATGCAATGCATGGAGGCACCTATTGCTCTAAAGTCAATAGACTGTCTCTTTAAAAATGATATATTTTTTTCTTCTGTCACCGTTCACCCTTGTGCAATTCTACCATTCTGTTTACTCCCCTTGTCCTAGGGGTCAGAAATGACCCACCCTAACAATTTTAAATCCAGCTTTACTGCTATTCTACATTCAATTTGTTTTCAAAACACATAATAGAAAATTGAAAAGTGGAGGAAAATTCTGTTTTCATTGATGCAATTTTACAACTTTCTTTCAGTAAATGGTTCATAGTTACGTCGGGGACTTGAAAGATAATAAATATGGTTGGACCAAATCAAATCCAAGCTAAACATTTGATTAAGGTCTGTTGACTTATATTTGCAAAAATTAATCAAATATGTTTAGCACACTGAATGGAAGAAGTCAATATAAGACAACATGATGGTGATATTCCATGTGCCTCTGGCAGCATTTTGGATCATTTTAACTTGTACACTAGTTTTAACCTGCTGAATGGAGAAAGTTCATGTTAGTCAATAGGCTTATGATTCTCCACATGCTATTAATATTTTAGCAAAGCTTATTATTGATGCTAATTTTTAGCATCACAACCCTCGGTTCCCTCCAACGCGTACTTTGACAGGCACCGTTTAAATTTCTTCAGAAATTTTCTAGTGTGTTTATTTTCTTCAACTGAACAACTGTTACACAGCGAGGCCATTTAAAATGAAGCTTACTGAATATTTCAAAATAAAAGCCTCAATACTCCTCTGAAGTTCGTGCGCTGCCTCAGAAGTTTGGCTACTTTTTTCTCGCGGGTTCATGCAATGCCTTGCTGTAAGTGTCGGCTCCTCCAGATCCAGGAAAGCAAACAGGACACAACCAGAACTGAAACTTCTTACAATCATATTTTATTTAATTGTGAGATAATGTTTTCAAAAACCGAAACACAAGTATCTTTGCACAGCATAGAGAGAGAAAAGGAGGCTGTTTTTTTGTTTTGTTTTTTAGAAAAGAGTAATTTCTGGTGAAGCGTACACAGAGACAGAAAAGAAAAATGACACTTCTCCAAACCATGTAGGAAATGAAAGTAATGAAAGAAAATAATGACAATTTTGGGTGGAGGAAATGACAATTGAGTCATGAAGGCTAATATCATCTGCTAGAGTTTTAGCCAAGAAAAAAAAAATTTGAATGGTGCCTGGAAGTTTTGACAAGTTATAATTTACACATCCAGACGAGTCTTTATAATTGAGAGCAATAGGCACTTTATCCACTATAACTCATATGTAGTATTATGTTAAACGATCCGATGTCCAGTATTATTTTGTTTTTTATGTTGGTAATCAATTTTCTATTTGCAGCAAAACGGGTATTTTTGTCTTCTCAATAAAATCTGAAACAGAACAAGGACTGGGTGAAACCAAGCTAACTAGACTCAGTCTAAAAACCCCTATCAGTTATTTCATAAGCAGTGACAACATGTTTCACTCTTCTGCTGTTTTTCCATTACAACATACAAGCAGAAGTGAGCTGGCAGATAAATTTGAAACTATGACACTGGGTTTATTTGTATGTAAAATGTATAAAATCGGTATATGCTGGTATGTAACAAATTTAGCATTTTTAACATAAATATTGGGCACTAATAATCATTTTGACACATGATCAAATGTATACCCTCACCCTGAGGTTAGATTCAGGACATTCCAGGCAAAGTTTGCTTTTCTAGACTTTCTACCAGCAGGCTCTTGTTCATTTCTGGTTTGTACAAAGCTGTAAAAGTACTTCTCCCAGAATTGATTTCTTCTGCTTTTACTTTCTTGTCACATTTGCAAGTTTTGGACTTTAAAAAGCATTTTCATTTTCGACACCTGGCGTCAACTAAACGGTTTTTAAAAAGAGGATTTTATTCATTCGGGGGGGAAAAAAAAGCCTATCCAAACCAACGAGGCTCTATGCTGAAAATGTAAAACCTAATAGCTAGTTGTGTCATCCTGGTTTGATTAAGGATTTGTGATAATTCACAAGAGAAAATTTGGTCCACTTCTCTTTGTAGAATTATTTCATTTCAGCCACATTGGAACATTTTCTTGACATCAGGCAACTTTGAAACTTTTTTTTCTTTTTGTTTGCAGCCATTCAGATGTTTTCTGCATCAGTATATTGTCCCTCTGCTAAACCTATATACACTTTAAGTCAGAATTTGACTATTTTTTGTGTGTGTGTATTATATTTGAAAGCAAAATTGTGGTAAATCTGTTCAGGGACAGAAACTGGAGCAACACAAGACAACTGCCAAACTAACACTCCAACATCTGCTTCAATACACTTCTTGCCCGTCTGAATTTGATAGTTTTTTCTACGTTTTTGCAACTAGTGGGTCATCAATGACAAAATCCTCTTTTCAATGAGGTAAAACTGCATGAAAAGCTAAACCTGTATTAGATACCAAGATCATAATTATGCTTAACATTCAATATTTGCTTAATAGGACACACCCAAATTGGGGTAAGATTCTTTTTATTTTCCACCCAGTTACAAGAATATTAGGATATTAATTAGGAAATAAAGACATGGTCCAGCTTTAAAACTAATTTATCTTCTCAGCTCAACTGAAGTGACTAAACTTAAATATATATATATATAAAATACCAATTTGACATCCTAGTAATCACTTCAACTACTTTACTATCTGCTAATGACGTTAATCAAAAGGTGACGGGAAACATCAGGGCCCCAAGGAATTGATTATTTTCCCCCACACAATAAAATGTGACATCCCCAGCGAGGACTGCCGAGAAATTGAACAAATTGCTGACCTTTAGATCTGCATGGACTTCTTCATGTTGATATTGATTAAACTATTTAGTTGTTCATCATGTTGGAAAATCATTAACTGCCTTACACTTTTGAGCTGAGAAATAAAAAATGTTCCAGCAAGGGGATTTTCTGACACATGGGATACAAATCAACGTGGCAGTAGGAGTGGGGCTACATGTTCACGGGGTTTAATGTGAAAAACTTGCAAAAAAAAAAAAAAAAATTCTAAAATATGAACTGAAATTAATCACTCATAAAACGGTTGTCCATTTAAACAAAAAACTATTTTCTGCACTTCTCTTGTGCGTCATTAGCTGCTGTTTTATTAGTAAATGTGAAGAAATAGCCCACCTCTTTATAAGACAATGAAATAGCTACAGATCCCAGGATGTGTAAGATTTGAACAACGTTCAGTAGTGCGACAGGCTCAACACGTCTTGTTAGATCAAAGAAAACAACAAAGAAAATTAAAAGGAAACTTTTAATTTCCTTTAGAGACCAACAGAACCAGAAGAAGAAAAACTAAAGTTTTTTTTTCTACTGTTTGAGCAAAGCAGTGAAAAATAAAAACAGGTCATGTGGTCCATTTCTCTCTCTGTGGGAAACAAAATGTTTCTGGAGAATCATCTGGCACTTCTTCAAGTCTTTGAGCTCGGAGTCGGCGTTCAGCAGGTTGGTACCACCTAGATGCTGTTCATACTCTGCGTTACAAAGCTGGTGATCCAAAAGGAACCAACACACCAGCAAGTGTCACTAGAAGCAACTTTGCACTCAACAAAGGAGCAATAGCTTCACTGTGCGTCTTTGTCATCAACCGTTTTCTTGTAGCAGGCAGGCAAAACGACAAATACGTCTGTTCTGAAAAGACTTAGAAAAAGAGATCTGCACAATGGTTTTGTTATTTCAGAAAGGTGAAACACATGTAGCAGTGATCGTAGTTCTGCAAGTCGGGATGTTGCCCTAATATACAGATTTTCTTTTATTTTCAGTTGCATGTGGGAAGGAGAGCAGGAACTAGGTTTGCCCAGCGTCACTGAGCTTTTGTGACCGACACGTCTGAACTGAAAGCATTTTGCAGTCTTTAGACAGTTTGAGAGAGCACAATTTCATGTGTTGCTCATCACAGATGTTGTGTAGAGTGAAATATCGACATCTAATCGTTACTGAGTGTATTACCAGCCGGGGACGCGTGAAGCACTAGCATACTGCTCAGTGACACCGACGAGAGCGTGCATCTGCATACACCACAGGTTCCACTTGCTATGACCTAGAGCTTGCATCCTCAAAGGTGATGATGCTGGACTCGGGGTGTTGCACTCCGCCTGACGCTGTCCCGCCGCTCTGTGATGCCGACGATGGGGAGGACAGCAAAGTGCCCGAGGGCCCTCCGGACGTTCTCTGTGCCGAGGACGAGGCATCGCGCCCACCGGGGAGGAGCGGCTGGCTGTCGGTTCGGACCTCGTCGTCTTCTTCCTCGTCATCCATGCTGGGCCAAGCAGACTGGTCCTCCACTCGCTTTAGGCGTTCGTTCAGAGCTTTCAGGGCCAGTTGTCTGAGTCAAAGAGGCAACAAGAGACAATGATTGCTAAAACCAACACGATATGTTAGGTAAAGCTGAGAGGAAACACACATTTACAAGTCAAATTTAAGACTTGTTAATGCCATTGCCAACTCTAATAATTTAAGAGAAAAGAAACTACAAATTTAGGGACTGGATGGGCGATGATGCTGCAATACAATCAAGCACAGCAAAAACTGTTTCATACTCTCACACTGCATATGGCTCCCTACAGACTTTTTTGCACAGAATGAACGCGGTATCTTATAGGCTGGCAACAGAAGTGAGTCAGTGGTGAAGACAAACATAGTCAGATTGACTGGAAATAAATTTGAACCTACCCATAATACACTCAAATAAAGCTAGCTCGCTAGCAGGCAGAGGTATTTTAGCAGCTAGTTCAACTGTCTCAAGTCAGAGAACATAAGAAAAATCTCTTTACACAACACAAGCTTTTATCTGACAGAAAATTATGTTTGAGAATATACAACATAAAATAATCCTGCCATGCCGAAATTTAAGACCTGTAATTAAAGTATTTAAGGCTAAGTTACTTTTCTAAAAAAAAAAAAAAAAAAAAAAAAAAAAAAAAAAAAAAAAAAAAAAAAAAAGAATTGAAGTCATTTTAAGGCCTTAATTTTAGATACATGAACTAAAATTCCACACATCAGCACAAAGAGCAAGTCTTCATCACCCACATTCTAGATTAAATATGTCCTCTGCCCACTCTTGGGCGGACTGCATTCAGAACTCCACTGTGTGAAACCACAGCACCCTCTATTGTCCGCAGACATGCAGCTGCTCTGGGAAGGCCTCGGAGGTTTGTTAGAGAACGCTGGTAAACAAACAAATGAAATATTGATCTAGGAACATTCTGCCAAGAATGTAATGCTAACATTACTAACTCCTTCTTTTCCTATGAGCCACTTAAATTATGCATCTGGTGTGAGCATCAAGGGCAGTTAAACACTAACCAAAGGGCAAATATATTATAGGCGTGCAAAATATGAACATTGATCTTGCGGCGATCAATTCATTAATTAAAATTGAAAAGACTACAACAACTGCAAATCTGCCAAGACATGGCCGTCCACCTAAACTAACAGGCTGCTCAAAGGAGCTGCAGGAGCGGCAAGAACTAGTCCATTGCTGACAGAAAGCCATTAGAAGGACAGTTTAACACAAGTAGTGTTGTAGACACAGCAAACACTGACGCAGAAGTTTACTTTTCAGCAGCAGCTAAACATACAGCCACAGTAACAATGGAAAGGTTTTAGATGAAGAATATTTATGCATTACAACAGCCCAGTCAAAGTCCAGACCCAAAACCCAATCAAGTTGTCAGTGGAAAGATTTAAAATGGATGTTTGTTGGTGTGCTCCTTCCAATCTGACTGAGTTTGAGCTATTGTGTAAAGAATGGGCTACAATTTCAGCCTGCACATGTACAAAAGTGGAAGACTGAACACTGAATTTCCTCCAGTAGATTTTCTACCAGGCCAATCAGAAACAGAAGGAGGAGTCGACAACGATGACGTTGATTTTCTGCACCGCTTTAGATTTGCCTGTGTTCACAATGGCAGTGTTGGAAGTGAATGAAGTTCATCAGCGTCTCGCTTCTGAATACTGAATAACCAGTAACAGCCATCTTGTTTAGCTCGACACTATACCAAAAGAATCGCAGCTGCAGTTGCAGGAAAATGCAGTTCTACAAATTAATGACTCTGGAAGACTGCAAGCAAAAGACAAACAACACTGTATCTATTTCCATTTGCAAAATATCTTGAAAACCTTACACCCTTATTGATGAGAATAACATATTATATACTAAATGAGACAAAGCTCAAAAATCAAAGTTTGCATAACACCCCCTTTAATTATTCCATTTTTTGTCAGTCCTATGCATAAAAAAGATCAAAACATTTGCAAGGCAATGTTGCTTCACACCCAAATAGTGATTCAGCTGTTCTATGGTAACTCTTCATTTCTTATACAACCACTTCAGCAAGTTCTTGCCCAAACCGAACGCATTTATCAGACATTAGTCTGTTCTGGTATTTCATGTCTGACAGTTTGGAGAAAAACAGTAAAATTTCTTCATTAGATTGTTTGAATCTACATTTCTATCTTGATTAAGACCCAGTCTAATCAATAAACAGAAGGCCTCTCAACTTGTAATGCAGCTAATCAAGATCAAGAAATTTCAGGGGATCAGAATAATTCACATTTATTCATTTCAGTTACTCTTATGTCTGTTAAACTAGAAAATACCAAACAAAAACGACTAAGTGCAACAGAAAAATCTGCCTTTGCTCAGCTATGGCTCACATAATTTTTTTACACTATATGTTGGGATAAATGTAATAAAACTTTCTAAAACTATGTGCGTGCTTGGGATTGCATTTGATATTAACCGAATCTGAACAGCAGCTTGCAGAAGTGCCTCTGTGAAAATCGGGCTCGTGGAAAAATAATGTTTAACAGCTTGACAGAAGGTGTGTGTGAGAGCGTGAAAGAATTCATGGTAGGCTCCGACTGGAAAAAAAAACAGCACAGCTGCATAACAAACCGCACAAACAAACAAGACAAAAAGGAGCCTTTTATTTCAGAACAGCTGAGAAGAAGGAAAACTGTTTAATCCCATGATTTATAAGTATAACATATTAACCATCAACTTGTAGTATAAATACTTCACATTGTTGTTTGTCATGATCCTTTTTATTGCTAAAAAATCTAAACTTCATACTAGATTGCTTAGAATATTACAATTACTTAAAACCAGCTGATCTGTGACCAACAATCTATTCACTAGAACCTCACCTCCGCCTCTCAGCATCCTGGGGGTCCGTTCCTGGCAAACTGATCGTAATGGCGGATGGCGCCCCCACGTCGTATCTCTTCACCATTTTCCTGCACACTTTTATCTTGACCAAGGCGGCGTGCACGAGCCCGGCGAGCAGGCCCACCACTGGCTGGACCGCCTCAGGGAAGAAACTGGCGAAGGCGAAGTGGTCGGACATGTCCCCGCGGCCCCGGCTGTGTCTCTGGTAGAAGCGCAGGTAGACCCAGCCGGACAGCGCGCCGTAGCTGTACGCAGCCAGCGGGGCGCAGCTGCCGAGCAGCCCGGACAGTCGCAGCAAGGCCAGGAGGAGGAGGACCAACGCCGGGGCAGCTTTGAGTCTCACCTGAGACAAAACGGGGAACATTTCGGGTGAAAGGAATCAGGGACGTGACTGGCAAACACAGTTTAGTTTAACATAAGTAAATGAATAATGTGGGAAAAGTCAATTTCTGAATTGAGAGAGATAAAAGAAATCCAGTTTCAGTTAGTAGCATGTTTTGGTTTGTTGGGCAGCATCTTCCATGTTTTTATTGAGGTTATTGACACAGAAGTTACAGTTAAATACTTCTGTGATGTTCAGCAATAATCTGATGTATATGTAGCATGAATACATAGAAACTAAATAAGGACAAAAACATGATGAAAAGATAACATGCCTGAACCTTTTTGACAAGAAAGAACAGTAAAAAAGATCAATCTGGAGAGACACTTTGAATAAATAGGTATGACCTTTTAATTCTGGTGTGTGTTGCTGGATAAAAAGAAAAGTATCAAAGAACTTAAACCATATTTTCGTCTTATGTGCTAAAGGCCTATGAAGACAAAATCTGAAACACAAAGTTAGAAAAACCTTGACTGGTTCCAGTGTTTCCACAATTATCATTTTGAGATTGTCAGCTTTATGCATATTTTCCAAACTCTTAGCTGTAACAACTTGAATGCTTTTTAGATTTAAGCATATCAGGTGACATGCAACTTGGCAACAAGAGAAAATTGATCAAAATAGCGATTTAACTGACTCTGGAAAACAAAAAACCTCTGTAAAAACTATTTCAAAAGGATGCAACACACTTAAAATTGCCGATTTGTCGAGGTGTGATCACAGAACCATGTTTTGATGAAAATGAACTGTCAAAGTTGTGAGAAGAATAGTGTCAGTAAATATTTGAACAAATAACTCCATTCCAGATTATGTGTTCATCCAAATTAAAAGCGAAATACTTCCAGAATGAAGTGACGACAATGCTGCTTGCACTTGACACTTGATTTTGTCCAAATTAAAAAAAACAATTATGTTTCAAACTCTATGCATACATAAGGACCAGAGGACACTGTTCTGCTTAACTTGTGCAACTTTACACTGATAATACCCTCCCATTAAACACACCTCACTGTAAGACACCTATTTATAATGATGCTTCAGTCTCACCTGTGGGACTCTGAGTACCGTGGTGTCCCCCATGGTCTGCTTCAGAGCCACCAGGACGCCTCCCAAGAAGCCCGCGGCTCCGTAGATGCGCACAGCAAACAGGAAGTCCAGGTCAAACGTGGCCACGTAGGTGAGGAGGTAGGAGAGCCCAGCCAGGAGTCCCGCTGACACGTTGACCACCGCGAAGAAGATCAGGAGCTCCAGGGCCCCCCACAGGGGCTCCAGGAGGCGCCCACAGGCCATGACTGTCCCCACGCTGGCCGCCACGCCCCACACATGCTGCTCCACCAGCCCATGGGTCACCAGCGTCCACACCCAGAAGTTGGGAGGAAACAGGTAGCCAGGGGTCACGCTCAGCGCGTAGGAAGTGTCCACCGCCCAGGCCAGCAGGTAGAGGAGGACCACCACGGCGCTGATGGTTTTCACCACCACGCTGGTGCTCGCGAGCGCGGCCAGGAAGTGCTGGCGAGCCACTGGGAGGTAACGATTCATTTTGAGCCTGCTTGGAGGAGCGAGTTCCTTGAGCAAATGAGCCCAAAAGCAGAGCTTAGAGGCAGCTGTTAGATGGAGCTGGAGGAGCGATGATGACAAGCAGAACTGGAGAAACCTGCGAGTCCAGGAGACATCAATGTCCAGGCTTTTCTGTGAGCCTTCATCCAGTAGCTGTCTGGAATGTGGATAAAGCTGCCTGTGGTTCGCAGATACGTCCCTTCAGGCGCTTTACCTTTAAATAAAGTAACCTATAACATAGTCTTTGTAGCTAAAGACGGTAACGTTGATAGAAAGTCATAATGTTACAGCTCAGCGAGCTAATAAACTTTGTAGATAAACCCCAAAGCATGAGAACCTAAGCTAGGCAGCTTTTTGAATTAGCCACCAAGCTAGCCACCGTCACTTTGTAGGCAGGAGCACAACGAGCCGAAAAAATGTCTAGCAAGTTTCTGGAGCGTGCTTGGAGTCAAATATGTTCATTTAAGACTAAAACAAATACAACCAGTAGTCTACTTATAAGAAGACGCTTCTGGTTGACTTAGCTGGTAAACACCGGAGTGCTAAATGCTGTCAAACTCACCCTTCAGGATCGATTATTCACGTCCGTCACAAAGTATGAAGACAATACAGTTTCTCTGGAGGTGCGAAAACCCAATCAGTGTCAGAGGAACCTGGTCGCAGTGAAGCAGCAGCCCGGAGCTCCAGTCTTCGGTCTGCTGCTCCCTTGTCCCGGTGTTTGCTTGCCGAGTCAGCCCGAGGATTTCCCGACGTTAGCAACAGGCCCAGAAAACAAAGCCGGACGCGTTGAAGAAGCGCAGAAGCTTCTGGTAAACTTTAGCGGCTGTTGGATCCTTTCACTTTTATGTCTTCATTCTGTTGCCTTTGAATAGAAAATCTGCCTGGCGAAATAATGTTGTTTCAGCAGACACTTCTCTTCCCAGCCATTTACCACCGTCATCAGCGATGGATGTGGAAACGTCACGTAACTGCTTCGGAGCAGAGAATGCTGGGTAATTGAGTTTTTAATTACTGCGCCTCTTACAGTTCATCTGGAACGTTTTCGTTTTAAAGGCAGTTTCCTACGGGGATTTTAAGTTTGAAATACACAGAGCAACTCGTTTGTGAACGATAGCATTTATTTTTTATTTTTTTTAGCAAATATCTGAAAAACATGGTATGTATATTTGGTACAATGAAAGTAGTATATCATATTTCAAGAGGGAATCCTAATTATGAGATTGATTTTATTATGTTAACTTAAAAATAATTATTAAAGTAGCTATTTTTGTGCAGAAATATTGAGAGAAAAATTCTTTCAAATAAATGTCTTAATTTTTTATTTTATTTTTTTTTTGGTACTATGTCCTAACAGGTTATTCATTCGGGTCAGAGGAACTTTAAAAAGGCAATTTTCTCTCTGAGAAACCAACAGATAGCCTTACATGCAAAAGGGACAGAGATAAAGAACTGAGAATCGTATACATTGTGCTTAACACAACAACCAAAAGCGAAATAGAAACGCGCACACACACTTGAAGTCAAACTCAATTTTTATTTCTTGATATTTAGGATAATGTAACATATTGAATCACATGACGGGTTTTTAGTCACAGTTTAGATCTAAAGTCTAGCAAGTATTTGGTGATTTTTGCAGCTGTTTGTTTCCTCTGCCTGAGAATCATGCATGCTGCTGCATGCATGAGTTGAGTTGCCAAAGCAATGACTATCGGGTGAAAAGGGATTTTTCAGCGTCTGCCAAGATATTTTCACATACATTTTAATGAGAGAAACAAAGAAAGTTAAGGTAGGATAAAAAAAGGAGAATATTTTCACTCTGATGTTCTCTTATCCAACAATTTTATCAGTGTGCTACTGTTAGGCTGGATGCATAAATGACCAAATGGAAACGCAGATAATTATAACAGCGGAAATAGAGGGAAAATAATAATAATAATAACAAAATAATAATAATAATTTAATGCAGAGAATTTAAAAAAAGTACATTTTAAATGTTTTATTTTTTTATTAAATAGTGTGTCGGAAGCCTCTTCATTATTTTTTTTCTCATCTTTTATTTTTTGATGAAAGGATGAAAGTCATAGTAAAAAATATTTACATTTCTCCTGAACTTAGTCCTTAAAGTTTCAGTTTTATCCGTTTGCTACATGGCTACATAATGAATGTTCCTTTGTAAGATTAGCTAACAACATGTGTACAATCACTGACAATAAACATGCAAAATTTATTTTAATAAAAAGGAATGGCCAATTATTGCCAGCTTTGCATGCGGTCGGTTAGTTTGTGTGTGAGCAGTGGAGCTTCCCACATAAACGGTGGACAATAAATTTAACAATTTACTGCTGCCGGAGTGTTTCCTCATTTGTTTCAGAAACCCAAACTGTATTTTCAAAGAATCTGCTAATGTAAAAATAATTATTCCACTGTTCCACACTTATCTTAATCAAACGTTTCCTGAAAAGGCATGAAAATAAATAAAAAAATAAAAAATGTAATGCTCATGCCACCCCATGACATCATGGCAGCCTGGGTGAAAAGCCAGACAATCTAAATCAAATGGTGCCAAACTCTTTGTAATCCACACACACTGTCACCTGGTCAATCATTTTGTAACTTGTATCTACAAATAAGATAAATAAATTGGGGGGGAAAAAGTATTTAGAGCATGTTTCTTTTATTTACAAAGTCAAATGAAACAAACAAAAACATGTAAAACGGTGATCCATCCTCATGAAGCACTGATCATCTGCTCAACAGGCTTGGAACAGAGAACATCCTTAAAGTCAGGAGACAATTTTCCTTTGTTTTTGTTTTTTTATATACCTTGTCTTCTGTTAACCTGGAATTCAGACAGTCGGCTCAGCTTGCTCGCTCAAACTGCTTCGTATTAATAAATATGTAAATTCAAGTAAAAAGCTGTAAAACTAGTGAGCAGGTCAGTCTTCACAGCAAAAGCCGAGCTGGAAAGTTTATCACGGAGGAGACTTGTTGGCATCACGGGACGACAAAACAGCTCAAGATGTGGTGAAATATGGAATAAAAAGCATCTGATGAAGTTGCTTTCTTTCCCCTGCTGATTTTTTTAAATTTTTTTTATTTTAGATCCAGGACATAAGTTTAGATTCAGAAAAATGTCTCTTAAAATCCATGTGAACATTTATGTCCAAATACTAAATGTAGTGTTTAGAGTTTTGTCTTATACACAGCCAATTTTTTTGTATGTTTTCCTTTTGTTCCACATTTATTACATACAGTATTTCAGCCAGTTTGTTCTCAGATCCTGGATCTTGCTCAGCAAACACAGTTATCAGTTGGTCCAGTAATTGTTTTGTTGGGTCATTTTTCGGTTCGTCATATGCGAACAAAACCCTCCAACAAGTCTGAGGCATCTATCGGGGAAACAACACTAGCAAGGACCATAAAAATATTACAAACATTCTCAAGAAGAGAAAATGGAAATAAACAAACAAACAAAAAAAAAGAAGAAAACACTGTACAAAAATAAAAAATACAAATGAATAAATATGCAAAGTCATAAATAAATTAAATTTGGTAATATTTCAGAACTTTGTCGAATCAGAAAAGCCAAGAAGAACAAAACAAGCACGAGTAAACTTTTCAGAATAAAGAACAGATTCATGAAAGAAATTTGAAAAAATGAACAAGAAATGCTCGAGTTTTGCTTCGATGATGTTTGGAGTTTCGTGTTCATGTGAGTAGCTAGTAGCTTTTGAAGCTGTAGCCACTGCTGCTGGGAAACGCACAAAGACAGTTTATTGAATCGGATAGGTTTTGAAGCTGAAGTTGAGTTCTGGAAAAAGAAACTGGTTTGTTTTAACCTACGTACACAGATTAATGTCTGTTTTACAGCGGAGCACAGTGTATGCTGCGGATATGTATTTCTCAACCATAGCTGCTATAGACTAGAAATGGGCTGGTAGGAGATTCTCATGGTTGGATAACCTTGAGTATGAATACCACAGTTTCAAGGTGTCATGGTATCAATACACATATTTAAAACTAAGAAGAAAAAAGAAAAATTAAATTGCTTCTGGCTTGCCAACCAGCTCACAATGTTAAAGCAGTGATATTATCTCAAGAGTGATGGTGCCATTTGTTTCCGTGTTTTTCTCGACTGGAAAACTTTCCAGACATCAAGATGAAAGTACTCACAAGAAAACAAGGTACATTGCATCAAAACAACCATGTCAGTCAGATTTTTGTAGAAATCACAGACAGGAAACATAAAAAGGGTCTCGCATGTTTGCCTTATTATACGAAAGGCAAAGAGTCTCCTAAAACATTTTAGGTAAATTCTTTTCTAACTCTGGTTCAGATCTTTTTCTTCGACAGGATGTGGATCACTCCTTCTTTGAAAAACACAAACTCTAATGAAAGAGCACATCCTCGTCTGCCTTGGAGTAAAAGTGTGTTTGTGGTCTTACTTGCAATAAAATTAAGATGAAACGAGCAATATGTGATTACTAAAAGGTTTTGTTGTTCCCAACATCTTGTATTTCATGAAGAGTTTTAAATTGTCAATGATAATCCCCAACAGGTCAAATTTGTACCATTTGTGAATTGTAAAACAAACAGAAAAGTTAAATAAATAAAATCATTTCAATGGTCATTAATGGCCTGTGGAACGTATTTCGGATGTTTCAGATTTATACTGTAGGATGATTAATTCATTTTTTTTTAAAGTTTAGAAACCCTAAGTTTGCAAACTTAGGGTTTCAGTAATGAATCAACTCATTACCGATAACGGGCCCATGTCGTTTGTGAACTTCTGCTCAGCAATCAATACCTTGCTCTAAAATGTGATCCTCTTTGTTTTTGAGCTTTCTGGTGAGTTTGTGCAGTGTTTTTTTTTTTTTAGGGAAAAGCCACACGATATCTCCAAAAAGATGTTTGGTTTAACATTTCAACTCTGCTCACAGAGCAAGACAGAGACAGACAATGAGTGGGGAAAAGAACAAAACAAAGCAGCAGAGTGAAAGCATGAATCGACGTCGGAAGTTTGCATTTTTCACTCCTTGAAAATGATTCCTTTTGTAACCTTTCGAAAGACAAGGCGCCGACACAAACACAGTAACAACACGAGCGTAACCAAAGCTTTGAGGGGGCGGCGGGGCTGTGAAGCTCAGCGCCCCCTAGGGTTGTATCAGTATGTATAGGCTTTAGTGAGTGTTTTGCATCGTTTTCACTAGGCTACAGTAAGACTGTGGGTGAGATTCAGTCTCCCCTTACCTCTTCTTTCTCACAGCTAACATTCAGAAAGATGGAAGGCAAATAAAGGCATCTTCTGTTGGTCGTTTCTCCGCTACAAGGATGACACCTCATTAGCTTTTTTTTTTTTTCACCTGCCTTTTTAGGCAATCACCTGTTTGTTTTTGTTTTTTTGTAAAAGTAGATTACATAAAAATACAGTACACATTAATAAAAAGAAGAAAAAGAAAATCATCCCACACCCCACGCCTAAATAGAAGGAATCTTATGAAGGCATTTGATTATTCGTACATTCTTATTTCATTGGAGCTTTTAAGTTTCAGAAAAATGTTTTCAAACCTCATCAAGCCTTAAGATGACACATCATTTCACCCTTTAAAAAGAAAAAAATACAAGACATCCTGCCCCGGCAGTGAAATATTAAGCTCGACAATCCTTTTTTTTTTGTCTTTTGTTTTTCTGAGTTTGGTTTGATATCTTTAGCTATTTTCTTTCGATATCCAAGGAAATATTCAGTAGCAGTATTCAACAAGTGACAAAACTTTCAGTTACTGAACACATTTACTACAAGCTACCTCAGCTAGAAGGACCTTTGTCTTTAATGGGATAGCTTAGGATTTTCAAAGTGAGGCTCTGATATGATGTTTTAAGCAGTTAGACTCCGACTGCCTCGGCTAACTTTGGTGTCTTCATTTAGTCAAAATCCTGATTAGCTTGAGCTAAAGGCTAAAGCTAATGTATAGACCAAAGCAGACTTCCACCATCTTAAAATAACTGCAATTGCCAAAGCTTCATCCTCTAGAACGTAAACTTGGTGATGATGTTGAGAAAGAAGACGCTAATTATTTACACAGGGATTGGTAACAGGAGGCGGAGTGGCAACAGAGGAGAAAGCACACGTTTTTGGACTGAGTAACTGCCTAATAAGCGTGGTAAGGCAGTGCAAAAATTTATAAAATAATGTCCACTTAAACTCCAATTACATTTTTCTTCTTGAAAATCTGAATTTTAATATCAAAATATGACTGACTGCAGACACTTTAATGTTCCATTTTCAGTGTGCGTTTCACATGAGAAGATCACTGGTGGCGCACAGCCCCCAACCTCAATTTCCTGTTTCTGTAATCATCAGCGTCTGTGTAAATTCCAGCCAAAAGCAAACGCGATGATGGTTTACACTCATAAAAGAGCCTTCACATGGACAGCTGTGATAGAGCACAGTTGTTCTAAGGCTCTTGACAGATTAGCTGTTAGCGTCAGGCTTTGGGTTCAACTGATTTGCATTTATTTAAATATACCAAAAAAAAGGGAGAACTTTTTAACGATACCTCACTTAACGAAAACCTCAACTACCACACAAAAAGAACCTCCAGCATCTGGCTGCCTTTTTGATTAGCTGTAAGCACAGAGTCTTCACATATTGCAAAGCTGCAGAACTACTGTAGAATCTCTAACGTTGACAGTTCAACTAATGGCCGTTTGTGGTCACTACAGGCTCACACTCAGCAGTTCTCAGTCCAGTGATGAGCTTTTTAATACCAGGATTGGACAAACAAATCTGGAAGCTCAAAGTCCATAGAATTTAAAATCCCTCCCCTTTTGTCCCCTCGGGATCTTTTTAAATGCTTCACATTCTGATATTTGCCACTGAGTGTCTGGTCTAATTCAGTCACCCTTCAGGTTGTTCCTCCAAGGCAATACAGGTGACCAAAATGAAGATTTTAGACCTTAACGTTCCTTAATTCTTTGTCCATCCTCCCTCAGAGGACATTGCAGTCTGACTAACACGTCGACCTGAAAGTTGTCTTACTGTCCCACCATCTCAATTACATCATCATCATCATCATCAGAGCTACTGCCGCCACTGGCCTCCCCGCCATTCACCAGAACCGGGGCGCGGAGGCTTTCTGAGCGCGCTGAAGGGGAAAACGAGGAGGGGGAGGAGGAGGAGGAGCTTGAGGCTGCAGTTTGGGGGTACTGAGAGAGGAAACTGGCTCCGGCAGGACCCGGGGTGGCAGCTGGACCTGGCAGCATTGACCCAGAGTACAGGCCGGCCAGAGACGGACTGTATGACAGAGGAAAGCCTGGCGGGAGCATCCCGGCCATGCTGGGGCCCAACATGTACTGCGGGAGGGCTCCCGGAAGAGAACCGGCGGCGCTGACTGACGTAGAGGGACATGACGAGGCAGAAGTCGTGACTGTGCTTGACTGAGATGAGGGAGAGGGGGCGGCGCTGGCTCTGGTCAAGCCAAACACGTCTCGGTACATGTAAGTGGGGTCGCCCAGCTGGCTGTTGGGTGGCTGGAAGTAGTGCGAGCTTGAGCCCATGAAGAGGGGGTGCCCCACTGAACCGCCCAACATGGCCGAGTTGAGACCCATCGGGGGAAGGCCGTAGCCCCCAGAGAACGGAAACCCTGGCGAAGATGAGGAGTGTTTTCCTTCATACGGCTGCTTCCCGGCTCGCTCCTCCATCGATGGGCTGGGGGCTTTACGCTTGCTGCCTATTCTCAAATCCTGGGGAATGCAGGTGTCTGTGTTTGGCTGGGTTACATTAGTAACTGAGGCATCATGGTGGCTCGAGGCTTCCCCAGGGTAAGTGCTGCCACAATTTTTCTGAAGCAGCTTGCTAGAACGCGAGGTGTTCGTGCGGCTCTCAGCTTCTCCGTCTGTGGCGCCAGACCCCGAGCCGGCCGTGTAGCGCTGCAGCTCGCTGATGATCTCTGGGCTGTCGGGGGAAAGAGGGCGGGGCACAGCTTTGGAGGGTACCTTCGGTTTCCTGTCAGGGGATACGCAACCATTGCTGCCACCGGAGGAAACTTCCTGAGTTGGAGTCTTCAAGTCTGAAAGAAGAAAGACGATCAATATTGGTTTTAAAAGAATAATATAACTTATTACATATCTAAACGGTATTTTCTATACAACCTTTTCACTAAAAGACAACCTAAAAAGCTCCATTTGCGGTTTAGATTAATCGTGTGTCAGAATGGCTCGGTCAAAGTCGAGTCTGAAATCCAAATTTTGGTATGATTTTGAAATTGCTCTTTGGAGATTATCTCTAACTGAGCTTCAGTCATTTGGCTGAGAAGCATATTAATGCAGACAGTCAATGCCACATTCAATAATAATTGTAATTTTTAAAATGTACAGAAAGCCATCCATCATTTTTCCTTAGCTTCTCAATTACTCACTACTTTGCGCAATAAAAAAAATATAATTCAAGTTGCGATGCAATGTTAATGAATGAATAAGTAATTACCTTTGGGAGGCGCTGTGACACTCTCATCCATGGTCTTAGCCTTGTTAGCTGCTCTAATGGCAAAGATTCGGCCGTCAGATGTCCTGATGTATGTCCCTAAATACAAGAAGTAAACAATGCTTTTAGTATGCACACTTACTGACATGTAACTTTACCTAAAGAATCAAAAATAACTAGATTTTTAAGAAAGTCACAGCATTGCTGATGTTTATTAAGTTTCAGATAGCGATTGAAGATGGCAGAAAAAGGCTTGTACCAATTAAGTTAAAGGAGAAAATCAGAAGCTAAAATTAGTTTAAGAGTTCTGGAACTGCACCTTTTGTGCCTCTGATAACATGAATACTTTCTCCGGCGTTGATCCTCGCCTGAACGTCTGTTGAGCTGTTGGTGCCTGGAATCACTATGTCTGAAAGAGATCAGAAGCAACTTATGAACCTTCAGAGGCATGTGCTATGTACGAACAACAACAACAACAAATGGATGGAGACAAAGCGCGAGCGCCGCTTGCCTACCAGAAGTGGTGACGATCTTTTGCACAAAAACTCCAGCTTTTTGCAGGCAGTTAACAGGGAAGCCTCCAAGGCTGGATGAAGAGGAGCCGCGGTCTGGGGCTGAACCCACAGCCACATGGCGGGGCATCATGGGAGCTGATGCAGATTGAACTGGCCGGACGCTTGCCACTGGTTTCTCCTCTGTATGAGTGGGAGGGCGCCTGAACAGAGGTTGTTTTTTTTAGTTATTTTATTATTACTGCACATTTTACAAAGATTCCAACCTGATTAGAAAACATGTTGTAGAAAACTTTACAGCATTTAAAGGATTTTTTCTGGATATTTTGTCAAATAGCAACTCACTAACCAGTTCCTCTGGCTGAAAGCAGGGATGTTGGTGAGGCTCTGATCACTGGCAGGGTAATAGTGAGCGTAGGACGGGCGTGTGTACGGCACAGATGCCCTCTTCTCCTCCTCGTAGCCCTTCTTGGCGGCTTTCTTCTCAGCGCTGCTCAGTTTCAGCTCCCTGCGGTCTATCAGGAGGGACTCATGGGGGAAGGGTTGCTGAAAAAGAGGAAGATTATCGGTGATTAGAGTTCCAATCTTAATCAAATGAATTATTTCAGCCCTAAAATCCTTCTGGAGTGTAGAAATATATTGGAATCTATTATCTAGAATCTAGACCTTCTACTGTATAGCAACAACTACTCCATTGAAGCTCTTGCCATATGTTTATAGTTGCTGTCCTGCTGTAACATGAACCTTTGCCCCAGTTTTAACTGACATCTTTTGCAACCTTTAAAAGTTGTCCTACAGGTTTTTTCATAATTTGGCTATAGTTCACTTTTTAATATGCATTATATCCAACTACCTTGGTGATAAGGTGGGAGTAGCGATGCAGAGCTCTCTGCAGAACGCTCTCCATGATCTCTCCGGGCAGCAGCCGGACCTGGGATGGATCCGGTTCCTCCTCCACGAAGTGAAGAAGGGACTCCACTTCCCGCCTGGTGAAATTCAGCACAGGGTTCAGGTCGTCCACAACACGGTCTGGTGGAAGAAGGGAGGGCAACATTTTAATTTAATAAGGTATACTTAGCTGAAATTGTAAAAAAAAAAGAAAAAAAAAGTGAGGCAAAAGAATTGTGAAAAGATTTAAGAAAAGTCATGCAATTACTAATAAAAAAGAAGACAGTTGTTTAGTTTTATGGTTTTTGTTCACGAATCAATATTTATTAAGGAGCTGAAAGCGTCTTGCAGTCAGAAAATGTATGGTTTCGGTTCCAGCTTCCCCCGCACCACATTTCTGTTTTACTGTTTAAATGTGTTTTGGATATGTTGTGGAAACTAAACAGAGAGAGAGTTTGAAAGCCACAACTGACAGGCTTGTTGACACCTCAGCAGGGAGCCGAAACATTCTAGAAATATTCTTCCTGGAGAACGATTCAAGATTAGAACACACCGACTCAGAAGTCCCAAACTCACCAGACATTCCCTGCTTGGAGATTTGACGATCATAAATCTTTTTCTCCAGAGTGAAGTCGCACACCAGGCGGTAGATGTGACACGGTTTTCTCTGTCCGTAGCGGTACACGCGACACACAGCCTGGGCGTCATGGCAGGGGTTCCAGGAGGCGTCAAACACTACCACTCGGTTCGCTCCAATCAGGTTCACACCCAGACAACCAGCCCTGAGGTCCAGATAGAGATCTTACAACATTTCTGACTTTGGACCTTGATATTAAAAATGGTGTAGTGTTTGTGGCTTACCTGGTTGAAAGTAGGAAAACCCAGGCTGAGGTATTGGCTGGGTCATTGAACTGATTTATCAGTCTTTCTCTCTCTGAAGCTGTCGTGCTTCCATCCAGTCCTGGAAAATATCCCACAGCAAATTCACAGTTAAACTTAAGTAAAACAATATATATAAGCAAAAGTAAGAAACTGCACATGTGTTTTTGTTTGACAGAGAATTGTGGTAGGAAGGTCATTCTGCACACAGATTACAGACCAGCAGCAATTTATGTGACTTTTAAGCACTTGATTAAACAGGTGAAGTGAGGTCTGTCTGCTACTCAAGATCGCCTGCAGGTGGCAGCACTCATTGCATGACAATGCAATTGAATCATAACTGAAGCGCAGAACCACTAGTCAGAAGAAAAGAGTCTCCTTCTACAGATTAGACAGATTTATCAGTGTATCAAGGTTAAGACTTGAGCACAACAAAAATGTTGATGCAATATTCAAACTAATTGCAATTTCTACAGAAGATTTAGAACTGAATATTGAGTTATGACTATTTTAAACCATATAAAATAGAGATTGAAAGGAATCTGTTCTTCCCTAGGTGTGTTTTCGATGGTCGGTATCTAGTAAGTCTTTGAAAATTATTGAAACCATAATCAGTGATGACTTACTGTAGTAGTTGAGATTGCGGACCCAGTTCTGGTTGGGTCGGTCTTTGTCGATTGGATATGGTGAAGGAGGCACTGGTCTCTTGGTCAAGAAATCCTCGATCACAGTGAGAGTGGACAGACTTTGACTGAAAGAGGAGCAGAAGAAAATATAACATCTACAGACGTGCCATGAAGAGGTAGAGAACAATGAGATGGACAATACAGCTAAAAAAGGTTTGGGAATCCCACAACCAAGAGTTTCTATATTAAAGAAAACAGATTTGCTTTATTTTGATCTTTCACCTGAACACAAGGATTTTGTCTCCCTTCCTGACACATTCCTCTATCAGGTGGAACAGCAGCACCATTTTTGCTGAGTTCTCCAGGATGCCAGGCTTGTAGTCACACATCAGTTCTTTCGCCTAGCCATGTGAAGGAGTCAAAGAAATGCCATTAGATCTGTTGTCACATAAACAATTTTTGAGATCTAATGTTAGAAAACCTCACAATAACACATACCCACTCATACGTGATGACCTGATTGGCTTTTTCCTGCAGCTGGTTCAGACTCAGCCCACAGATTGGATCTGGGTTGTCCAAACTCTTTGACTTTGGAGCCGGTGCTGCCGTCGGACATCTGCCCTGTGAAGTGGATGTGATGTCGTCAAGGTCCAAATCCTGCTCACTTGCCAGGTTTTCTTTCTGCAAAGCTTCATATAGCACGTCTGGGTGATTCCAAATCTAAGAAACAACAACAAAATGCATTTGGATGTAAGAAAAAAAAAAAAAAAAACTGAGTTCCAAATGAATAAAAGTATAATACTGAAGAGGATGATCAACATTTTTGGACACACAGACCTTGCAGCAGACACAAAAAGCTTTCAGGGGGTTAAGGCTGAGCCAGCCGGTGTTCCCTGCCTCTCTGAAGCGGTTCATGAACTCAGTGTAGAGAGCCCTCTGCAGGGGAGACAGACGCACCAGGATCACATGTTCGTCCTTAGAGGGAAGTTGGTCCCTCAAGACATCGTGGCCTCGTCTGGATTATAAATAAACGAGTCAGTATTAGAAAGAGTTTCTTAAGAGAGACTAAGTTTAATTTCCTGAGTGGCGATGCTCTTACCTCTGCACAAAGCCTTCCAGCAGGCTGTGGAGGACGTGGCTCCTGTACCTCATCAGCTGGACGTCTTGAGGTGTGCTGTCCACACACTGTCCATTGAGGATGGGGCGCTCAAACATGTTGCTGAACTCCTGTCTTGTTCCTGGAATATGTAAAAATCAAAAAGAAAAAAAAAAAAAAGAAAAAATGAGCATTGTTCAGAAGGAAAGCAGACATGCAGAATCACTAACACACCTCACCACATACCTAGAAAGTCGGGTCGGACAAAGTCGACCATGCACCAGTACTCGATGAGATTGTTCTGGAGCGGGTAGCCGGTCAAAACTACACGCCGCCGGGTTCGTATGTTCTTCAGGGCCTGAGACGTGCTGGCGTGGCAGTTCTTAATGCGATGTCCTTCATCACAGATCACCACATCTGGACCGGGTCGGGAAAGGGCTTTCTCAACCCCTTAAGAAAAGACACAACTTCAGTGAGCTATTTCAGCTTCCTTACCCTTCTTTATTCTAATTTTATTTTAATCTTCTTCACTTTCTCTCCCCTAACTTCCTCATTTTCCCCTTCTAAGTCTTTCCTAACCTTTTAGGAGTTGCTGCTGTCTGTCTTCTTCATCCAGGTTTATGATATCAGGTCCTCCAGTTTTTTTGCTCCTCTTCTTCCGCCCGGCCACAAAGCTCTTCTTCAAAGATAGGAGACGGTACATTTCATAACCCATCAGCAGGACACCACCATCCCGAGACCAGTCCTCCACCACCTTGGCCCTAGATGCTGTGTTTCTGGGTATTAGGAGAAAATGAAAGGCCATTCTTTGTCAAATAAAAATGATCTCTCCAACAAAACACCCCCCAAAAAACAAATGCTTGGGTGCTACTAAGTACTGTAAGTTCCACAGACATTTCCAGTTCAGAAATTGTTCCGGTCACTTACTTGTGTTCATCATTGAGGATGTGAACTTTAAATGCACGAGGTGTGACCAATGAAGGATTGGTGTCTGAAGGTAATGCTTCAGGAGGAGGGACCCATGTGTTGAACTCTGACAGCCAGTTCTGCAGTGTATTCACCTGGAAGGGAATAAGTATGTGTATCAGATTTTGGTACACATACTTGGTTCACATTGTTTGGCTCACAGTGAAGATAAATCTTGTTCACATCTGTTTAGTCATTTTTGGGATACTATGGGGTTCAGAATTCAGGACAATTATTTTTACACTATACAGATGAAACCACATCTTTACATTTACATCAACCTTTTTATCATCATTGTCCAGGCATCAAATGGAGGAGGCCCACAGATGCTTACCGGTACGATGGCGAGCACAGTGTGAGTTTGAGTGTGCCTGAACAAGACGTCGATGAAGGAGATGACCTGAAGCGTTTTGCCTAAGCCCATGCTGTGGGCCAGGATGCAGCCGAATCCGCTGCTGTTGCTGAAGAGCTCCAGGGACTCCACCAAGTTGTCGTACAGGAAACGTATCCCACCGATCTGAAGACGGATTGAGAAAGACCCAAGAGATGAAGTGACACAAGCCAGAAGAGGGAAGAAATCCAAACTCTGGAGATTCCAGTGGATGGATATTTTAACCAAGCATCACATCTACAGCTGAACATTTATCTATATGCTTATTCTGAGTGTATCTTGATACCTGGTGAGGTTTGACTGCTTGCGCCAGCTGTGGTGACAGGAAAATATCCTCATCTGCCTCTGGATGGTTGAGGTTGACGAGAACCCTGCCTTGGGCGTCTGGTTGGTTCTGGGTATCGTTGGCATGTGCACCACTAGGCTCACTCTCCTCTTCCTCTTTGGAGACTTGAACAACAGTGTCATAGCCATCTGTCCTCAAATCTATTATTTCTGAATAGAAGACAAATAAACAGAGAAATTATTAAGGTCTCAAAACTTCCAATACAATTTTTTTTATTATATACAAACATATTTATGTTTGTATATAAATTGTACATTTTTTATTCAAGTCATTGGTTATTGCCTCATGGCTTCAATTATTCTAGCATCATTCGAACAAAATGCCAAGGTGGAAAGATATGAGGATACAGATAATTATACAAACAGCTATTGACCAGTGCTGCTCAGCAACAAGTGGGGGAGGGTAAAGTTGTGTGTGCTTATGGCATCCTAGAATTTTTCCAGCATCTCATTAAAAGGGCTTCAAACCACCCCATATGAAACATTTGAGCAGTTTTAAAGTCTTGATAAAAGGTATTTGACTCATGTCTAATCAGCACTTCTAAATATGTTGCAGAAAATATTAAAGTTAGATTAGCTTGTCAACAAGACAAGCCTTCACAGTACAAACATAGCTCTAATGACGGGACACTAATAACTAAACGTATGAATGTAAAAGAGAAGCATAAACATCAGGGGATACTTTAATTCAGCCTTTCGGTGTTTAAAAAAAAAAGAAAAACATCTGCTGCAGTTTTTCTGCTAAAAAATTCCCATCAAATTTCCATAAGCCTTGACGCTCTCATCTCTGATAAACGAGAACAGAAAGGAGTATCAAAGTTATACAAGCTGGCAGCCAGTGAGAGCACGCTGTGAAGAGGAGGAGTGTGTGTTAAAAAAAAAAAAAATTCAGAGTGAGCTTATATAACTGCAGTGAATGACTGGTTATACAAGTAGGATTAGAGTGGAGGGGGCGACTGGTTATGCAACCCCAACTGGAAATGTCACTGTGCCACTGTGGTGTGGGTGTGTGTTCATTATGAGTGTGTGTTCTGCTTCCTCCCTACGATCTGCTGGGTTTATTACCCCTCTCATTTCCTCTCTCTTCCCTCCTTTTGGCCGTTTTCTCCCTTTTCGTGGTTTTCATCCCTCGGCCTCTCCTTGTTTATCTGTTTTTACCTGTTCACGCGTCTCCAGCTCCCTCCTTACACCGCAGGTGTGCGTCTGCAATTTGGTTTGATCTCGACTCTGAAAGATGCATTTATCCCAGTGTGTGTGTCTTTATTTGGACTATTTGATTGACTTGCTGGGTGTGTGTATCTGAGCACATGGATGGTAAATACTCAACTGATCTTAACTTACAAAAGTCTCACGGTCATGTTAACTGAATTTGTGTAACAACTGAGTTTTAAATGGCTCCAAGTAAGTTTTACAGTCAGTTAACTTAAAAAATTTTGAAAAATAAGAATCATTATCAGGATCTCGCCCATTTCTGTTGGAAATTGACTTTGTTTATGTTATGCTACCTAAAAAAGAAAAGGAGAAGAAGACCTTGAAAAAGACAAAAAAGTAATCAAGTTTATGCTTATTTTGAACATCTCTTTGTTGGAGGTTCAAAATAATCTTTGCCATTTAAAAATCCATCTGATAAAACTTTAAAGAGAAATACTAGTGGTTTTTGAGTAAAAACAGATTTTTTTTTCTCTTTCGTAGCAATAAAGTCCTTTGGTGTGCTGCTCCTCCAAACCCTGGAGGTCAAAAGTCAATTTCAAACAGGCTGTGTAATTTAATGAATGGATGATTGTTATATGGCTGTTGAGTAGCAAATAGTTGGTAGATCTGAGGCTTTATGAGACAATGGGAAAGTCATACAATCTCAGTAACTTCTCTACCCAGATGAGCTACTCAGGAAGATTTAATGTAGCACTGAATGCATGCAGGCTTATAGGATCAGAAACATGCAGTAACATATAGTAAAGCTCAAAGTTTTGGATAAAAGGAGGGACATTTATTCTCGTCATTTTCAAAAACATTATGGCAAAAATCATTTCAAAGCCATTATTGGCCTCTTATTTCATTTTTTATTTCTCATCATTTGTTTACAACATCTTTTGGAAAGCATCTTCATAAATTGCACAAGGCAAAAACAACCTTGGTGTGAAAAGCTCCCACACAGCAGCAGGATGGCAAATGATCTCTTCAAAAAGTTACATATAATTACAGTTCCAGGCCTATAAGTGGTGCCGTAAAGACGACATGTTAAAACACCATAAACAGAGAAGATGACATCGACCTAATAAAACCTAAACTATATGCTATGAATATTATTTTCTCAGTTAAAATCCAGAAATATACATACCTCTGTGCTACTTGTTGTCTTTTTTATTTTTTGAACTTGAAAAAAAGGGCATTTTTCTAAAATGAACTGAGTAGTTCATTTACATTCAAAACTACATTTCCGTATTTAGTCAAAAAGAAAGTACACCCTATTTACATTTTGGGGTTTAGAGGTACATTACAGTTTTTGACATTTTTTTCTGTTTTGGTTTCAAACTCTGGGGCTTTCGGTTCTGTACACTTATGAAACCTAATCCAAAGCAGTTCATTTATAAGTTATGAATTTTGGGTTTTAAAGCTCAATTTGCAGCAACAACTGTGGCACAGACATGCTTACACCATTGATAATGGGTCTTAAAATGATCACGATTAGAAGTCCTCTTACTGTATCTGATTTAAACACTCATTTTCAACTATAAAAGTCCTCAAATACTTCATTCACCTTCTGGCTCAAGCAGTTTTAAAATAAAGCCCTCGTTGCAGGATTGTGTATCTCACCTGCTTTTTGTGTTTGCGCTGTTGCTGCAGAGGTGAGTGTGTCAGTCTTGCATTTATCTGCGCCGATACTCGTGCTGCTGGACTCCAGGCATATCTCATCCTGTCTGGTGGACTTTACTTTTTGCTGGAATGACACTGATGCAGACGATGAGGGCACATGCTGAGTGACATCGCCTGAGGAAAGGGACAGGAAGAATGCAACATGTAAGTCAAAAACTATGAGATGGAAGAAGTAGAAAAAAAATGGAAGCACACATGGAGTTAATGAATGGACAATGAAGGAGAAAAGTTTAGCCAAGTATGTGTGTAATTAGCAATCATTTTTGTATTGTGCACGATAAAGAATGCTGACTACAGATTTTTCAAGTAGAAATGTGAGATTCAGAAACTGAAGGATTAATCATCTTCTCACCGGTTGTGTATTCAGGCAGTAGAGGTAGAGGAAAATCCTGCTTCCTTTGATCTTCCAGACGTTGCCTTCGCTCTAGCTCCTCCTGCTGGGCGACTTTGGTCACTGCGTCTAACTGATGTTCCCTCAACAATTTCCTAAGATATAGCCAGACAAACGTACTTTTAGGTTCATCGTAATTGTGTATTTTGACAAACAACCAAATTTCATTGCATGAAATAATTTTTTTTAATAATCTCTGTTTTTAGAGATTATAAGTTGTTCATATACAAAAAAACACACCTAACTATAAAAATAATCCACATGACTCAAAACACTGCATCATTTTTTTATTACACAGTTACTCAGTCTGAGCCCATCGACCTGCATCAGTGATATTTGAGATTTTCTTTTCATGGCTAATAAAACACTGAATAAAAATTGCACACAACTTCCTCTGAAATGGCTTTGAGCCCCCAGTAAATACTAATCTCACATTTTGAAGTCCTTCAGTTTAAAGAGGGATTCAGCATTTAGTGCAACCACTGTGCTCACTTGTTTTGCTTCATTGTGCAACATTGAAGCTCATTCACTCCGAGGTTCAAACACGCACATTTCCAATAACCTCTCAACACAAAATGACACATAACTCTAGCCATTGTTTCCTAAATGTAGCAACTAAAAATAAACATAAATAACCAAAGTGCTGAATTAAAAAAATTTGACTGGTAGAAACTGAAAAAAAGTCACTGACACATCATATATTTTTAAAAAAAAGGGGGGGTTTTGAAATCGACCACAAATCTAAGATCAGTTCATTAAAAAAATACAGTAAAACTTCTTTACTCAAGACTGTAACCAATATAATGAGGATTGATTGTTTTTTTAATTCTTTTTCTAAAACAAATCCAGCTTTCTTCCAGAAACATTGAAACTAATACATCCTCCAGATCGCTGAATAATTTGGGGTGTACGTCTTAATCACCTGTGAGATGAACTCTTAAAAGAATCCTGAAGCCTGAGTCGTAATCCTCCTAATGGAAATATTTGTGCATCCCAGTTGAAAAGGGCTCTTGAAATTGTTAATAGGATCCAGAACAGTCATTATTAACATGTGTTTGATATTTATCTAAATGCGCTGTGTTGCATTGAAGCAGCATAGTTGGGGTTCAGCCTTAAGACATTACTGGCAGTCTGGAGGAATGAGGCAGTAAACTCAGCATACAGTGTTTGAAATCACTAACAGATTTTATAGGCAACTGGGCTGCTGTTGATTTTCAATAGAAAAAAGCTGCACAGTATAATAAAACTGGTACGAACTGGTACACAAATTTTAATACAATTACAACCAAGGGTTACTAAGATAAAAACATTATAGAATCAGCTGAAGAATTTTTAGCTGTTTTTTTTTTTGTCTGTCCCAATGTCTAGCATTAATAAAAAAAACACTTCTATAAGGCATTGAGTTGAGCTTGCTTTAATAGATGGGTTTGTGTTGTTTCTTCAGAGATCCCTACACAATAACTCAGTGGGTGTCCTTCTAAGCTCTCTGACTTGGAGCGCGTTTGAAGCTCAGCCCGAGGTGCCGACTTTGGTACCTGATGTTTCGTCTCATGTGAGCCGGCTTGGAGTTCCTCTTCTTGGTTTCCGTCAGGGCGGAGGGAGGGGCGTGGCTTTGGCTTGCCGGCCTAGAGTGGGGTCTGGACAAGGACTGCGAGGTGGGTGGGTGGTGCGGCGTCTCCGCCGAAGGCGAGGTAGATGGAGGAGGGGTGCACTGCCACACAGCGGGATTGCCACCCTGAGCTTCATTCTCCGAGCTGAAGGGGGCGCTGTGGGACTGGTCTGTAGGAGGAAAACAGGAGCACAGATAATGATCAATAGAAGTAAATGAAGGAGAGATTAGCTTCAATTGTCAGCATTCATCATAAGAATAAAAATTAACAAAAAAAAAAAAATCAAAATACAATGTGACGAACAAAACTGCTGCAGTTCTAAATGAAAGCGTCTGCATCCATGTTACATGTACTGTTTTAGCGTCGCCTGAGCTCAGGGTTTAAAAGGATCAGCAGCAATTTATCCTGCTCACATGTGAGAACAAATATTGAGGCCGTCTTTGAAAGTAATGATCAAAAATTCATATTAATCACAAACTGCAACATCTCAGCCAAGCCAGGAATAAATACATCTTGAAATTCTTTAATGACTTTTACATGCAACTTTTCCTCACAGCTAATCACTCTTTTGCTGTTGTTTTACACCTTTACCAAATCTAAGATACACTTTTGCAAAATTTGATGTGCTTACCATATATTTATATGTACTTTGTATATTTCTCAAAACCTTGATGCGTTTTGTATTTTGGATCAGAAAGTTACATTTTGACTTCATCAAAATGTAACTTGTCATTCCAAATAAAGGTGTTTGGAATGAAAAATGATGGCGTCTGCCAACTCTCAACAGCAGGAAGGCTTGCATAACAATGTTTTATAATAGCTGATGACTCAGGGGAAGTGGCATGTACTGCTGTTTCACTGTTACAGAGAGGCAACTTTAAACACTCAGGCAACCCACTTAAAACAGGAAACGCCACAATTTAGACATGGTAAGTATAACTTCCCCTACATGGTGCATATTTGTTTCCAATTCCCTTTTATGTTTTTTATCTCTGATTTGAAATATTCACAAAGAATGGAAGTATAAATCTGAATGAAAACATGTCAAAATAAAGCACAGCACAGTAATGTATCATAGACAAACATTAGTTTGATTTAAATTTATTTATGTCAAAGAAGTTAGAGTGTGGGATAATATTGCAAAATATTTGATGACATTATATAGAGATGCAACAGAAAATCAGCTGGTGACCAGTAAGGAAGATTTTCAGCCCTAACTTTTTTTCAATTAGTGAACTCACCTTTCATAAGTGCAACCATTGTTGCTACTGCTTTGTAATAACTTCCACAAGAGAATTGCGGTCAACATGAAAATCAAATCCAAAATTTAGGTGCATCTCTGATTTTGAAACTTTAGTAAGACATTGACCAATTTAAATAAAAATGCTGAAATCTTTTGGTAGAATAATATTAGAGTAACTTCTTGTCATTTTTAGGATTTATTTTCTGAGTTTTGAGTTTAACCTTGCAGGATTTAATAATAATAATAATAATAATAATAATAATAATAATAATAATAATAAAACATTAGATTTTTCTTGTTTAATATTGGAGAATGAGGCTCAGGGTGGCATTTACTAACCAGTGCAAGCAAACTTCTTCTCTCTGTGCTGAAACCCCTCAGAAAAGTGAAAACTTGTACTGCTTTTTGTACTTTTTTGATCAATCTTCTTGAACGTAACTTTAACCTTCTCGTTTTCTGCCCTCCTTCTCTCGCTTGTTCAATCAGAAGCACAGTGAACCAGATCTGGAGCTTATGTAAGAGCTGCATCATAAAAATGGACAGCTTATGAAACACACGACAGGGCACAAACACTGACGCACAGACGGACATATTTCGGAGGACAAGCACTCATAAAACAACATTAATCAATGATTAAATATCCAACACACGTAAAAATGCTTGTGTTTGTGTTTCTGTAGGAGACATTTTCAAGGCTGAATAGATTCCTTAGCCCGTTGCTCTCCATCTAAAAATAAATGAAGTAGCAATAAAACCCAGATTTATTCCTCCTGAAAAGCCTTTTATACACAGCAAAACTCCAGTTTGGTTCCCATGTGTACAGAAACTCCCAATAACACGATGTTCTGTCAGGTTTTGGATCCCCACACCATGTCATGAAAACACACCAATCAAATTTACCCTTCAGTCCAGCCCAGAATCTGCCTGGGAAGACTGGACCAACAAGGACGCATCAATGCCCCACACACACACGCACCCACGTACACACACACGCTCCATTTCAATGTAAACACACACGAAACCCAGTATAGAAAACATGCTCTTAGCGTGATACCTGGCATGAGAATGTACGTATGTTCACATGCTCTCACACAAACATCCTTTTCATAATGGGGCACGGAGGAGGCCGGTGATGATGATCTCAGTGTGAAGTGAAAAACAACTTACATAAAACGCTCCTCGAGTCCGTGGCAACATACTTCTTAATCAGGCTGCCGATGACACCAGCTCGGCCGTGGGTCTGAGCGATTGACGTGTCAACATTTAATGTTTCAAGAAATTGATCCAACAACGCTGAGAGAAACTTGCTGACTTAAGAGTCAGTAAAAAAAAGAGAAAAAAGTGAAAAACTACTTTGTTCCTATAAAGTATCCAATTTCCAGCAGAACTTTTCAGTCCAACTGTTTCAACCTCAGTAGAAATATCTGAACAACTGCAGCAGCTGTGTAAGTTTGACCCCTCCATCTTTCTCCAAATGCTATCATAACGTTGACATTTGTAAATAATTACAGTATATCTCCATGGTTTGAAAAGATCGGGGTTATTTTAGCCATGTCACCTAATGCAAATTTATTTTCAACAACAGACCATTGCAAAAACATACCAGGAAGTTATTTTATTTCTAACACTTAATAAAGACACAGCGTTCGACGCTACAAAAAACTAAATATTGACTGAGGGTCAGAAAACTAATGAACAAAGACCCAAAGGAAAACAAAAAGGAAACACTAATTAAAGAAGTGGAAGGGGTTTCTGACATTTTTTAAACCATTGCGTTCCTTTGATTGGATGCCAGCGAACAAGTGTATCAGATGGTTTAGTTTTTCCAGGAAATAGTGAATAAAAATTGTAGTTCTTGTAATTAAAATGAAGGAGGTTTTATAAAACGAGTCTTATTAAATTTATCAACAGATGACGGACTAGAGAACGAAAACAACCTTCGCCGCCAGACACAGATGTGATTTAGAAATTCACTCGAAAACACTGTGTACCCCATTTTCCATTAGTCCGGCACAACCTTACACAACAGTTATATAACAGTTCCTGAAATGTGCAGAGCCTCGACATCAGCGCAAACACACAAACAGTCCGGCGACAATGAAGAGGCAGGAAAAGCAAAGGAAAGAGGAAAAGGGAAGAGAGACATCAAAGCGGGGTGGACAGCACACAGACACACATGTTACAAATCCTGACTCTGCATGAGCAAACGAAACACAGACGCAGATTCTGGGAAACAGGATGCCTTCCTACTGAGGGGTCAAGAGGACGACAAGTCAAAGATTCATTCGCCAATGTAAGAAAGCGGACATTTTGTCAAATTCGTTACGAAATGTGTTCCAGAAAGCTCCTAGACACACCTACTTCACATATACCTGCTTCACATGATACCGTCCAGTTAAAGTTTAATGTGTTTTTTGACACAAACAGTAACATTGCTCGCCACAATACACTGGAGGTTTCATTTAAATAGCTGTGATTTTTATTAGCATTTGAAACTGTACATTGTGAGCCAATCAAAAAAGTACTATTAAAGAGTAGAGATAAAACTGAAAAGATAAGTGCAGGAGAAGCATGTTTGCTCACCAGATTTCTGTTTGAAGTTACCAATAATAGAAGAGTGGGACGCTTGTGTAGGCAATTAACAGGTTGGCAGCAGCTGCAAGCGAACTCTAAACATTTTATGACTAACACACATCTTTATCTCATCTAAAACAATCAAACTTATGAACTGAAATAATTAAGAGGCTGTTAAATGTTTGAACTAAGCTAATTAAAAAAAGACACCGTATTTGACTTTAATGAAAGTGCATTTGTTGATCTTAGCTCAGTATGACCAGGTAAGTTATACAACTCACCCACATAAAGGCACTAAATATGTTACATAACTAAAAAGGTTAATCAATGCTCCCTCGCTGAGACTCAAGGAATCTGCGATCAAAGTCAGTATTTAGATGAACGCAACTGATTGTGTAAAGACACAAACCCACATCACATTGTGGGGAAAAAAAAAGAAAAAAAATCACATCCCTGTCATTTCTTAACTTTCAGTTAATCAGCTCCTACTGCAACCCGCAGCCCACGCAGGGCGGCCATCAAAGCATCACCACTATTACAGCAGAGCATCCTGCTGCTTAGTGAACATTTTCGTAAACCTTCAGAACCTACTTTCACTTTTAAACCAACAGTTTTTTCTTTAGATGTTATTATATTAAAAGAAGCCATGAGTTAGTCATGTGAAGAACTTGCTAGAGGAAGAACATGTCAGCTATAACTCTGTCATAGCTGACACGTCAGAGTTATGCCTGGATGTTCAACATCATCCAGCTGCTTCGATTTAAGTTCTTAAAGCATCTTAACAAAATAATATAAAATGTTGATCATAGTTAAAATAACATAAATCTCTCACTGTCTCACAGAAATATTATTTACACAAAATCTTAACATGAACAGTTTCCATTGTTATTTTGATGTTTTGCTACATGAAGAAAAGAAAATGGAATAAACCACTGCTAAATTTAGAATAGTTTTTCACATGAGCATTGCATGTAATAAATTTTTTTAGTCACTGCACTTTTGTAGAATAATACATTTCGACAAGCTGATATTAGCTGTCTATTGAGACTAAGCATGCTGACCAGCAGTGCACAGAAACAGGTGGGGGAGAGAGAGCTTAGCGTCAGCTGAAGGAAACTCCTTTCACTTTCTTTGAATTTAAAAGTTGCAATCATAAAATACATTGTTCATATTTAATGAACAATATGTTTTTTTTGTATTTGTTAAAACTGTCATGATGTTCTGACGGTATGAGACAGAAAATCTGAAAATAAATAAATAAATCAAGCTCCCTTGCTTCCTCCAGGTGGTCCTACTGCCATCTGCAGAAATACATTGTGACAAGCTCCTTTGTGTGTAAGCTGTTCAGACCC